TTCATTATTCATTAGTATTCCTATTGGTTTTTCGATGATTTTTGTTGTTGTTGTTGGTTGTTGTTGTTGTTAAGTGTAATGGAAATGAAAATATCGATTACTTTTTTTGTTGATCCATTAAAATGAATGTATATCATTTTTTTCGTTTTTTTCGGGGTCTTTTGAGAATAATAATAATAAATAAGAAGAGAATAATAGTGTTAAGTCATGTTTCGATCGATTAATACCCTAACAAATCAACATCAAAAAGAGAGAGTGATGGAGAGAGAGAGAGAAGGAAACAAAGAATCATTGCATGATGCAAAAAAAAGAAGGAAATCTTAGAGAAGAAAAAACATGGATTTCCCACCATGGAGAGAGGTCATTGAAAATTGCTTGTGTCTGTATGTGTTAAATCTTTTGTTGAATTACAGATGAATGAATGAAATTTTCTTCCATTTATTTATCCATCAATTCAATTCAAATCAAGTCAAATCAAGTCAAGTGAAGTGTGTGTGTGTGTATTGTTTCGAGTTGAGAGATTTAACCCAAAAAAAAGTTCAACATAAAAAAAACAAAATCATCAAAAAAGAGCTTTCTATATGTGCGTGTTTCATCAGGATTCTTGACGAGAAATTAATGAAAAATTGCTTGGAAAAAAAACATCGTTTCATAATGAGTGTTAATGGTGGTTAAAAAGTTGAATTTTTATTCATTCATTCAGTTTTTTTTTGCAAGTGGAATCCTTTTTTTCTCCATCAATGGTAAACCAGTGAAAGTGAAAGTGAACCAAAAAAAAAGTTTGTTTTTTTTTTAATAATAATCATTAATCACACAGACAAAGTTATCTATGGATTTTGGTTGGTTGCGTGATTCATTCATTTTTATTCAATCAAAGTTTTCTGGTTCCTGGATTTTTTTTTCTTGGTTTCTGGTTGGAAAACTTTTGGATTTTCATCATCATCATCATAATCATTATTTTCTAGTTTCAAGTCAATCACATAGATACAAGGTCAAAGTATCGATTGTTTGTTTGGATTTTTTGAAATTGATTGAATTGATAAAGTGAATTTTGTTTTCCATCATCGAGAGAGAGAGAGAGAAAAAAAATCGATTGTGGTTTTCAATTTATCTCTCTATGGCTAAGATTTTTTCTTTATTATTCAAATGCCCGCCCGAACAAATATTCATCAATCAGCCAGTCAGCCAGTCAATCCAAAAAAAAAGCAAATTCAAAATCATTTATCAATCAAATCACACAAAAAACTATTAAGAAAAGATATCCAAATAGGAAAATTATATCAAATTTTCTTATTGACTTATCAACGACAAAATAAATGAATGAATGAATGAATGATAAGATAATCTAAATGAAAATGAATCAATCTTGTTTGGCATGAAGACAAATATTCATTTATTTACTTATATTCATTCATCTACATTCATTCATCTTCATTTTTTAGGAAAATCCATTAATTATATACCTTTTTTTCTATTTCCACCTAAACAACAAAAACAAAATGAAAAGAATGTAAGGAATCTTGAACCAAAATGAACTTATCATGTAATTTTATTCCATTATTCATTCAATTCAATTATATTCTAGGTTCAATTTTTTTCTTCTTTGTTAGTTGAGATTTGTTGATTGAGCAATCACTTTTTTTTCTTCTCTCCCATTCGTTAGACATCTTTACAGAATATGAAAATATGCATAAATTTATCATATTGAACTTTCTACTTTCTTTTTTTTCTAGCTATAATTTGAAAATTCATATCGAAAAGTTTCAAAAATAATGGGAAAAAAATGAAGAATTTCAAATTTATTTTTCTTTTCTTTTTTTTGGTTGTTGAAAAAAAATTTCCCCTACACACACCGCATCAGTCTGTGTCATTGACAAACCAGACAGAATACCACTTTAATAAAACATTTGCCAAATGTTATCATCATCATCATTATCCGATACGATTCTGATCGGATTTTGATTTCGATCCTTATGTTCAATTTGTAGAGATTACATTCTACTGGATAAATATTTACCAAATTGCACCATTCGTGTTTCATCATCCTAAAATAATAATACCTACTTATTGATAAAATCGGATCAAGATTATTATCAAGTTCTTTTTTTTAATCAAAAAAATAGTACAAAAGTATGTTTTTGATAGGACTTTGGTGTGAAAATTGTTTTTTTTCTGTCGATTTATAATTGATTTCGAAGTTCTTCCCAAGAATTTTTTTCTTTTTCAAAATTAATAAATTTTCTTTTCTTTTTGAAAACAAAATTGAAATGACCTTCCATTTTTTTCTTTACTTTTTCTTAACAAATTTCAATTTTAGTGATCTTTCGGAAACAAGTATTACAAAATTACCAACAAATGGCCTTTCAAAATCATTAGAAATATTACGTATAAAAAATACATTTACAATGAAAGAAATACCATTTATATATCATTTTGAATCAATAAAAGAAGCACATTTAACATATTCATATCATTGTTGTGCATTTCAATTTCCCGAAAATCATGATCCAATTGAATATGAACGAATAAAAAATTTATTCAATACAGATAAGTATGTTTATTAACGGTTAAATAACCGATGATGTAATAACCGATTATGTAATAACCGATGATGTAATTTTTCAATTTTTTTTTGTTTTGTTTTGAAATTAGATATTGTTTTGGAAATCGAAAAAATGAAAATGATAATGATAATGATGATAAAATAATAAATTCCAATGAAAATGATATTCAGGTAAATATCAATGTTGTGAAATACATTTTTTCCACCATTTTATAAAGTTTATTTACTTGAGAATTTTTTTTCTCATTCTTTTTTTTCGTTGTTGTTACAGAAATCATTGGAAAAAAATCCAATTATTCGTCGCCGACGACGACGACGTTCATTATCGACCATCGATGTTGATGAAAAAAATAACGAATCAAACATTTTGAATCGGATTACAAACAACAACAATGATGATGAAGATGTTCTGGAAAACAACAACAACAACAAGCCTGTTTATGGAGTAAATTTTGATTTTGAAAAAACTTTTATTTCATTTTTCATTTATTCATTTCATTAATTATTTACGAAAAAAATTTTCTTTTTGTTTCAATTTCCTTGTTTGTTTTATCATCTTTTTGCATCTTACCACGCACACACACTCAAAAAGGTTATGATCTATGAAAATAAACATCCAAATACAATGATGATCAACAGCAATAATGATCATAACGATAATAGTAATAATCAAACATTACGTCCATTTGAAATAATTGAAAAACGAATGAAAAATATTTTAAATATAACAACAGCAACGGATTTTTTTAATAAAAATCTTTATAAATTTAATCATAATCAACCGGTTGATCATGATAATGATGATGATGATGAAATATTAGTTCGACAGGAAAAAATGAATGAATTACCGGGTGAATTTTTTGGACAACCACATTCATCGATCAAATCAAAACAGGTATTCAGGTTGATTTGTGATGATAATAATAATGTTTTTTTTTTTGAATTGATAAGGAATTTTGTGGAAATATTGAAAATCATATGCCAATCGTACGTTGTTATCCAACACCGGATGCATTTAATCCATGTGAAGATGTTATGGGAAAAAATTATTTACGTATTGTTGTTTGGTTAGTTGCATTTGCTGCTGTTTCGGGTAATGTTGCTGTTATTGTTGTATTGATGAGGTAATTTTTATCAAAAAATTTCTTTAAAAATTTTGACATTTACAAAGCGGAAAAAAAACTTAATGAAAAGAATCTTTCCAGAAAAAAAGGATACAATAACAAGAGGAAAAAGCGAAATTCTGTTGTTGTCTTCACTTTGAACCGAACAAAAAAAAAGAATAAGATGGGTAGATAAGATATTTTACAGGGTGTATTCTCTTGGGCAATCATCAGAA